TTAAATAAAACACGCGAACCCTTCTCGCCTTGCCACGTCATGGTGGTGCCTCCACCACGTCGTGGCAATCATCCAAATGATAATTTAATTACAAATAGAGTACCTCAAGATCCATGCATTACAATTCCGGTCATCAATGGTAGATTTCGAGTTCATCTATGGCAGTTTTCTGGAACACACATCTGAAACCAACGAGTTTGAAAGGTTCGAAATTCGTGGGTTTGAAGAGTTCCAGATTCATGGGTTTAAACTCGAATGATTCCAGATTCATGGGTTAAACTCGAACGAAGATGAAGGGTTCCAAAAATCATTCATCAGATTTGAAGAACTTTCCAGATTTAAAGAGCATTTTCCATAAATCGTTTGTACAGGATGACAAAATCGAACTTAACGAAGTTCTTTCCAGATTTGAAGAACACACACGAAGAACACATTCCATATACAAAATCGAGCTTCAAAATCCAGTATCGAAACCGAAAATCCCAAATAAAAGCTTCATTTATATTGTAAGTTCTTAAAACTCTAAACCCTAATTCACCTGCAAAATTGAAAATCGCAAATCGAAGCTTCATTTGCTCCAGATTTCATAGAGTTTGTCGTAATATTCATGATGACATTATATGAAAATGACACTGGGTTCTGGTCAAACAATATTTTGATGGAATAAATAAAAGTTTAAGGATATGCTCCTCAATAAACATCTGATTTACCAAGAACTCGCCGGAATATTCATGTTTCACGGGAGAAGATGACAGGAGAGTCATCGGAGAGGTCAAAGACATGGAAACCTATAATAACCGATGATAGCCGGTCAAAAGGGTTATGATGAACACAAAAAGTAAGTTAGATGATATATTGCGTACAAAAAAAGATCAAATGTGAACAAAATCAACACTTGATTATCATTCTGAGTCATTTTCCCTAATAACAACACACAGACTTACTATGATCGTGATCATACGAACGAGAAGTTAATAATGTTAGGGTTCAATAATAACACAATCACATGTTAGTAGCGTGTACATCGAACCATCATTAATAACCAATAATCGCACTCGAGTTTCATCACCACTGGATCATACCCAATCAACGGATCACACATGGTTCCACCGTGTATCGGTTCATCAAATTGAATCCGGATTCGATTAAATGGTTCGGGTTTTAAAACATTAAACACATTATAATTTGGCCACCATCAAACCCTAATATGCACCAAGAAAGTTCCTACTTTTCAAACCCTAAAAATTCCCTTCTATCTGCACAAAATCAAAACTCACCATGTCTCTTGATAAGGCGGTTGAAAGGGGAAAGGACACATCGTTTCCCCCTATGTCGACGGCACTTGTGGCCGAGACCAACGGGAATGGCAACGGAACTGGATCAGCGCCGTCTAACGCCAGCTACCGTCTCCGATTGAACCCTAATCAAGACCACAAGGCGGAAAACTATGACGATCTAGGTTTGGAGTTCACTCCCCTGCTTTTCAGCTCTCTGGAGCGATACTTGCCTCCAAATCTCTTGAATGTTTCTCGAGACGCAAAGTATAAATACATGAGGGACATCCTGCGTCGTTATTCGACTGAAGGAGAGCGTACTCGAGTAAGCATCTACATTCTGCATAAACATTGCTTTATGAATCCCTTTTTGTTGCATATGTTTGAATTTTGCGTGTATGACGAGCGATGAAGTGGAAAAAAGTTTGAATTCTGCAAATCTGCATTGTTCTTAAGACTGATTTTTTTTTTAAATATATATGTACTTATGGCGATGCTTGAATTTTGCATTTTTCTTGCATATTTTAGACGATCGGAAGGAATTGTTACTCATCTTTTCCATTGCTCCATTTTCAACAGGACCAGAAGCACAGAGAGTACAGGCAAAAGATCATATCCAATTATCAGGTAAATTTGAAGGTGTTATGTTGAGTGGAATCGGAAGGTTCTTGTTTACACATCTGATCTGTGACATTTTGATTTTCTTCTCAGCCTCTGTACAGAGAACTATACACATTGAATCCTTCAACCTTTTTTGTCCAATCATTTTCAAAGGCATTCAGTGCCAATGATAAGAACAGAGATGAAAGTATCAGAAGCATAATGTCTGAACCTGCTCCAGGAATCTATACATTCGATATGCTTCAGCCACGTTTCTGTGATATGTTGCTAAATGAGGTATTAATTCGTTAATCATAATCCTGTCATTGGGGAACTAACTTTTCTTTCGTGTAGTTTAGTTTTTACATTTTCTTATCAGGTTCTGATTGCTTAGGTAGAAAATTTTGAAAAATGGGTCCATGAAACAAAATTCAGAATCATGCGTCCAAATACCATGAACAAGTATGGTGCTGTTCTTGATGACTTTGGCATGGAATCCATGCTTGAGAAGCTGATGGAAGACTTCATACGCCACATCTCAAAAAGTAAGTTTTACTAAAAAGATGTAGAAATGTTTCAAAATCCTTCAAAGTTTAAATGCCATTTCTGGTTTTGAAAATTTATGCAGTTTTCTTCCTTGATGTTGGAGGGTATTCTCTTGATTCCCACCATGGATTTGTGGTTGAATATGGAATGGATAGAGATGTTGAACTGGGTATGCTATCTAACATTTTTGTTTCATTAACATTGTAATGGTTTTTATATGATTTTGATATATCTTTATTTGTAGGTTTCCATGTGGATGACTCTGAGGTGACTTTGAATGTGTGTTTGGGAAAGCACTTTACTGGTGGGGAGTTGTTTTTTAGAGGCGTTCGCTGTGAGAAACATGTGAATACTGAAACTCATCCTGAGGTATGTTTATCAGTTTAAAATTTTAATTGTAATCTAATAATAATAATAATAATAATAATATAAATATAGAGTTGAATTCATTTTGATGTTTTATTTAAATTTACAGGAAATTTATGATCATGCGCATCTGCCTGGACGTGCGATTATTCATCGTGGGCGCCATCGACATGGTGCCAGAGCCACCACATCTGGCCATAGACTTAATTTACTGCTGTGGTGCAGAAGGTATTCAAATTTTCAACTTTTTTATATGTGACCTAATTTTAATTTTAATTAATTATAACTTTTTTCTTTTGTTTCAGTTCTGTGTTTAGGGAGCTGAAGAAGCATCAAAAGGAGTTTGTGAACTGGTGTGGGGAGTGCAAAAGGGAGAAGCAAGCAAGGCTTCAGCAGTCTGTGACTGCGAAGAAAATGGTAGATATATATATATATATATATATTTTTGGGTGGTTGTGTTTTGTGGCTTCTAGAAGATTCTGGAAACTGATGTGATGTTTGTTTGATGTTATTATCTAGGAGTTGCTTGTGGGTCAAACAGATGGTGCTGCTTTCAATCCTCGTTAGAAGAAGAAGAAGAAGAAGAAGAAGAAGAAGAAGAAGATGATGGTGAATGTGGTTTGTTTTTGGGTTGTTGTAAATTCAGGTTTCTTTCTCAATTGGACCACAATTCTGCTGTTTGGGATTTTGATCTAAAATGGTGGAATGTTGTTTATTAAAACTTTTAGACAGATTATATGCTTCTTGTTGTCATGGATTGTTGTTTGTTATGTTTTGTGCTTAGAAAGCTTGTTTCGATGTCTCTGTCTTTGTGCTTCTCGTTGTTGTGATGGAATGTTGGTTGCTATTTTAATTCATGTGGTATTATAATAAGTATTATGATTGTGAAATTATAATTTATAGGATTAAGGGTTAATACTTCTTTTTGTTAAGCTGCGAAGTTACATACTTTGTGGCAATATATATTGTACCACAAAAACCCAAAAACATGTGTCAATATGCTATAAAAATAGATCAAGTCATACAAAATAAGATAGGCTAAATCTAAATTCAACATAAGATTTTGTTACATCATGGATCGATCTCGACATCTTCAAAATTACAAGTGACTGGTCTATAATTATATCCATACATATTAATCAATCTGTATATAGAGTGATAAATAAAATAGGGAAAATAAGTAATTTAATCATAATTTAATGTGTATTTGAAGAAAAAAAAAAAATCTTTTTGTAAAAATAACCAAGTCCAGAATACACATCAATGGAGAAAAAACATTTTCTTTTGACGAAAAAGTAATATTTTGGACTGACAATCCAGAATTCCGAACCAATGTTCCGGATTCTAGATTGAAATTTGGGAGTTTGAAAAAAAAAACTTTGGAATTTCAAGAACAAATTCGAAATCCGATGAACAATTTTAGAATTTAGAGAAAAAAATTATTTTTTCCCTAAAATTTAATAAAAAGTTAAACAAACCCATGTAAAGATGATATTAATAACTTCCAAATAGACATTTCGAATATGAACAAAGAGATTTCTTTAGAAAAAATAGAAAAAATCAAAAAAGAACCAAATCCGGAATGAAGCATTGGGAAATAACTGGTCATTTTTTTTTTTCAGAAAATAAAAAAAGTAGTTACTAAAAAAAACCCAATGGTTATTTTCGTATTATTATTATTTAAGGCTGTGTTTGAATTTGCATCGTGAAAATGATTATCTTAATATTTACGAATATTGTGATTTCCATGAAGTTACATGCATGTGATGAAATTTATTTACAATTAATTGGGATTGTAAATAAATAAACAAGATTTTTATTTGCGATTGTAAATAAATACTAAACAAGATTTATATAGAAACTGCAACAGGAGGTTTTTTTTACCTAAGAAAACGCATTGCTGGTGTTGCCGTACTCCTCACGCGTTGCCCTCTCGCCGCCTGCCACCCTCCTCTCGCCGTCCAACCGCCTTCCGTCGTCTTCAACTATTTTTCTATCGTTTCGCCTGTTCTTCAACAGCTTGTCTGCGTCTTACTTCATTCTGCGTGTTCGTGTTTTTTCTGCATGTTTGGTTTCAGATAGCATAAAAACATTGATCGATCTTTGGTAACAACTCTAGTCGATTACTTTGCGATTAATGTGATCATCAACTAAGAAGTACTTCTGATCAATTCTATCTCGAAACGAATCAATTTGTGTTTACATATCGAAGCAATGAACAGAAAAGCATTCATCTTAGCAGTCGTTTTAAGGGTTTTTATATGGATCCTATCATTATCATGTCCCACCGCCGGCGAAGCGTCGACGTGCTTGGCAGTGTATAAAGAAGGCGGTGCACCAGCGGCGGTCAACCAGTCAACAAGATGTCAATCGGCTACACGTCAGGGCCGACGAAAATACATGGAAGATCGCACTTTCTGTACTCTCGACATTCGGATTCCTTTTCCACGTACGTTAATTAACATGCATGTTTCAATTATTTTTTTTTCAGAAAATAATGTAGTTATTTCTTGGGGGTTTTTTTGAATTTCTTCATGTATGTTACTAGCTTCCTGCATATCCAAATTAACATTAATGGTTGGCTTCTCGTTCTTATGTAGACCACAATGGCACTAGGGATACCCCAGTTGGCATTGTTGCAGTTTTTGATGGACATAATGGTGCTGAAGCTAGTGAGATGGCCTCAAATCTGTTGTTGAAGTATTTCATGAATCATGCACTCTCTTTTTTGTCCAACACATCAACATCAATGGGAATGTTACAAGATATGGGAGAAGTAGAACATGACAATGCTAATTCTCATAATGGAAGGTATATATCATCATCATCATCTCTTTAGCATTGATTTATGCCTGATCCAATATAATGCAACATTCGTGGTGAGTGTTATGATTATATATATGGGTCACATCTGTTATTTGCAGTTGGACTCTTCTCTTGAGCATTTGGATTGATTTGGGACATTCCTGAGAATTACAGGCGAATGAGCTTCTCAAAGGTTTTTTCTGCACGACATGTTTTGGAAGTTAGTTAGAAACAAATAAAATGATGGAATTAACAAGGATTTGTTAGACAATAAGTGTTTCTTCTGTAAACCCCACTATTGGATTCTTATACGAGGAATCATAAACAATGTCAATTAAAATGGTTATTAGCTTATTGCAGTTTGGTCCCGCTAAAAAACACTTCTAATAAATTGTTTGCTTCTAACTTATTTTAGAGTGCTTATAGTACAGGTGAAACCAAAATACACTTTTATCCTTATTTTAACTGTAATATCAGTACTCTTCTGTTTTTCATACACCCTCCAACTTATAGATCCAATTATATCTAGCTGCATTCCCTTTAATTTTCTTCTTCATTTATCAATATAATTTTCACATACTGAAGAGGGAAAGTCAAGAGTTAAATGAGTCAAAGTTGTTAGTTAACTGTCCAGAAATGGGAGGAAAAATCTGTTAGAATAATTCCTTTTAATTAGAAGCAAGAGAGAGGAGTGAGCATACATAGGAGTTAGTCATCAGTTTTTCATTTATATATTCTGTATTTTGGTGCCATATAATTAGCTAATCCTAACGCTTTTTTTTCATGAACTGTGTTTTGATACCACACAAGCTAATTAATAGACACTTTTGTAAAAAAAAAAAAAAAACACTATTTTAAATAAATAATCCCAAACAGTACCCTCTTAATAAGCATTTAACATTTTTGTCACAGGAATATGGTTACATTGTCAACCATGTTTGATGGAGATGGAGCTTTCCAGTTGGAAATTCTGAAGGAATCATTGGTGGGAGCAATTGTTGATATTGATTCAGCATTCAGTGAGGTAAGTGATGGTTGTATGGTATATATCCATTTCCATTTTTTTGTGTCTACTAAATTCTGGAATATATATATATATATATATATATATATATATATATATATATATATATATATATATATATATATATATATATATATATATATATAATTTATTATTTTTTTTAATTGCAGGAGGCTTCTAGATACAACTTCACTTCTGGATCCACTGCAACAGTTGTATTAATGGCAGATGGTCAAATTCTTGTTGCCAACGTTGGAGATTCAAAGGCTTTCCTATGCTCTCAGACATTCCAGTCACCTTCGGAAGCCAAAGGTTAGAAATATAGCCATTATTTTATAATAAAATCCGAAATTAAGCTTGATAACTAAGAGCATCTTCAATGGTCAGTTTTTTTTATCGCTTATTACTATTTGTTTAAGTGGTCAAAATAATTAAACACCATTGGAATGTACAACTTATTTGCTTATTTTTATTTTTATTTGCTTATTTGCTTATTTTTATTGATCAATCAATATATATTTAGTGGTCAATATAATTTAAAGATTTGAACAATCAACCTCTTGCTCTTTAAAACTATTTCATTTTCTATCTTTGATTTACTTTGATTTATTTATTATTTATCTAAAATTTATAGATAAACTAATATACAATACATAAATATAAATTATAATAATATGCAAATCTTTTGTAAGTGAATGAATCTTTATATTAAAATACGATGTATTTATAAAACGATTAGTTAAACGAGGGGGTTTTATATAATATTTTAGACAGATAAAAATAAAATAGTTAAATTAAAAAAAAAAAAGTCATAAAAAAATTTAACCATCTGAGCAACAGTTTAATTAGAGGTCGATAAAAATAAAATAATAAAAGTGACTATTTTTGAGCTATCATGGGAGATGTTTTAATGAGATTTACCATGGATTTCGTAAATTATTTATGTCAACAGCTACTTTAATGAGATTGTACAAGAAGAAAAGACAAGATGGTGTCTCAGTACGCATAAAAGACTTTGGTTCGACTTTGACCCATTTTTCTGCCAAAGAGTTTACTAATGATCACCATCCAGACAGGGCAGACGAAAGGTCCAGGGTAGAATCTGCTGGAGGTCATGTCTTGGAGTGGGCCGGTGTATCCAGGGTCAATGGTCAACTCGCAGTTTCACGTGCTATTGGTGACGTGTCCTATAAAAAGTGAGATTTGCATTTCGATTTGTGTCTTTGTTTTACTAATTACTAACTTATTAAATCATGTATGTTGTATTTCTATTATCAGGTTTGGTGTTATATCTGTTCCAGAGGTGACAGATTGGCAACCTATGACACGTAATGATAGTTATTTGGTAGTTGCTTCTGATGGTGTTTTTGAAAAGCAGAGCCCTCAGGATGTTTGTGATCTGTTAATGGAATTAAGAACCACTTCTTCTTCTTCTTCATGTTCATATTCGTTAGCTGATTCTATTGTTGATACTGCTATTGGAAGAGGCAGTATGGATAACGTGGCAGTTGTTATAGTTCCATTTGGACTAAAAACTCAGCCTAGTCATGGATGCAGTGAAGTTAGACAACAGACTTACGTGGATGAAGATGATCCCGTTTGAATTCTAAGGTTGCGTTTAGTTACGGAAAAACAATTTTCATTTTCCGTTTTTTGTTTTCCCTTTTCGATTTTCGTTTTCCGTTTTCATTTTTCATTGAAAAATTTAGAGAACGTGTTTAGTTAAACTTATTCATTTTTCATTTTCAGTTTTAGAAAATTAGAAAACGTGTTTAAATGTCTATTTTTCTATCGGTTTTCATTTTTAAAAAACGGTAGTGGTAGTAGGGTGTGGGTGGGGGCGGTGACGGTAGCGGGTCGGCAGCGGTGGTGGTGATGACAGGCAATGGTGGTGGCGGCGTCAATTTTATCAGTGGTGGTGATGGTGGTGGTGCTAGTGACGGGTTAGTGGTGGTGGTGTAGGTTTGTGTGTGTGTGTGGGTGTGTGTGTCTGTGAGGGTGGGGGTAGGTGTGGGTGTGTGTGTGGGTGTGTGGGTATGTACGTGTGTGTATGGGTGGGTATGTATGTGTGTGTGTTTGTGGGTTGGTGTGTGTGTGTGTGTGTGTGTGGGTGGGTGGGTGGGTGTGTGTGTGTGTGGGTGGGTGTGTATGTATGTGTATGTGTGTGTGTGGGGGTGGGTGGGTATGTATGTGTAAGTGTGTGTGTTTGTAGGTGTGTGTGTGTGTGGGTTGGTGTGTGCATGTGTATGTTGGTGGGTGTGTGTGGGTAGGTATGTATGTGTGTGTGTTTGTGGGTGTGTGTGTGTGGATGGGTATGTATGTGTGTGTGTGGGTTGGTGTGTGTGTGTGTGTGTGCGGGTGGGTGTGTGTGTGGGTGGGTATGTATGTGTGTGTGGGGGTTGGTGTGTGTGTATGTGTGTGTGTTTGTGGGTTGATGTGTGTGTGTGGGGGTGGGTATGTATGTGTGTGTGGGTGAGGGGTGTTAAGGTAGGGGTAGGTAGAAGTGGATGAGGTGAAGTGGGTGTGTGTTTATAGAAAAATTTTGGAATTAGAAAAATATGGAAAACAATGATTATCAGTTTTCCAAAATTTTCCAACTTATTTGTACTTTTAGAAAACGGAAAATTTTCATTTTCCGTGAAAAATTTAGAAAAATAGACGAACTAAACGCGTTTTCAAAATTCTCATTTTTCTTGGAAATTTTTTCCGGAAAACGGCTCATTTTTCCGCAACTAAACGCACCCTAAGTCTTCCATGTTTTTCTTCTTTCTTTTGAATCTTTTCCATATATTATCATCATGGACACAACAACAACAATGACGACAACATATCATGACAACAACATACCAATAATTCCATTAAATGGGGTCACGATACGTGGGAATAAAGAGCAATTGTGTCACTGATATTCATCACGTAAAATGATAACATGAAAATCAGACAAACAAAATAAGAGTAAAACAAGAACGATAAGACATAAAAATAGGTAAATAATAAAACAAACATATGCATCCAATAACCTACAAATGAGACAAAACAAAAGGAATAAGTAAAATAATAAAATATGAGCACAAAAATAAGACATGATTAAATCAAAATATAGACATATAAGCAAAAAGCATGTATGAATAATAAAGATTACAAAATAAAACAATACAATGAGAGACTACGTCAATAATAAAGATTAGAAAATAAAACAATACAATGGGAGAGACTACATCAATAATAAAGATTAGAAAATAAAACAATACAATGGGAGAGACTACATCAACCCTTATCTTTAACCTCCACACCTTTTTGTCATATCATATGTGCTTGGAAATGAATAAATAAATATTTTTATTTATTTATCTATTTTTATTATATAATAATAATTGTATTTGTCACATATAAATATATTTTTTATTGAATGTATTATTGCTCTTTGCCTGCTAATAATAATAAATTTATATACATAATTACTAGTATAATTAAGTTATTTGTTTGTGACACTAATCCAACATGGTGAAAAGTTGAGTAAGTAATTGTTAACGGTTTTCCACTCAACAAATGATCACAAAACTTGCCTGTTACTAATAATAAATTTATATATAGAATTACTAGTATAATTAAATTATTTGTTTGTGACACTAATCCAACATGGTGAGAAGTTGAGTAAGTAATTGTTAACGGTTTTCCCCTCAACAAATGAACACAAAACTTGCTTGTTACTAATAATATATATATATATATATATATATATATATATATATATATATATATATATATATATATATATATATATATATATATATATATATAATTACTAGTATAATTAAATTAGTTGTTTGTGACACTAATCCAACATGGTGAGAAGTTGAGTCAGTAATTGTTAACGGTTTTCCACTCAACAAATGACCACAAAACTTGAAATCCTTATTTTCATAGTTACATGGAAGGTCGAACGGTATGGTTTCTACCCACCCCTTCCCGTTCTTCCTGCATTCTTTACTGAACTCCCATGATGGTGTTCCCACCACTCCTATCTTGCAACTCCCATCATCCAACTCTTCATTTGCTTCATTCACTTTTCTTTTTTGTTCGCATGTTACCCCCCTCTCTCTCTCTCTCTCTCTCTCTCTCTCTCCATATATATATATATATATATATATATATATATATATATATATATATATATATATATATATATATATATATATATATATATATATATATATATATATATATATATATATATATATATATATATATATATAGAAGTAAGTTCATGCGAAAATATAAATATCCTGCGAAAACGCGAAAACAGATTTTATCTTATGAAAATTAAACACATGTACTATAAAAAAGTAATTTTATTAGCAATAAATTAAAGATAGTAAGTTTGAATTGGATGGTGTTATGGTAATATAGATTTAAAGACGGTTTTTATAATTATATTTTTTTCACATCTTTAATCATTTTTAAATTCATGTTTTCATAATAAAAATGTTAAAAATCATACTTTGCTAATATGAAACAGTTTATCATCTATCATCGATTATCATCATGTATTTCAAAGTTTGGATGAATTATTTTCCAAAATATAATGTTGAGGTGACATAATATCATAGGTTTTTATTGTTTTCGTGTTTTCGCAAATTATTTGCATTTTCGCATGAACCCTCCCATATATATATATATATATATATATATATATATATATATATATATATATATATATATATATATATATATATATGGGCATGGGGGAATATGTGACTGTTATGTATCTAATACTATATATAGAACCATCAAAAACTACATTGTTTTTACAAAATACGATCAAATCTCTCTACCATCTTTCTTTTATCCTCTATTAGAGCTTATGTTAGGCTTTATATATATTTTTATGGAGTTTTAGAAACAAACCACTCAAGTATACATATAGTAAGTGTTGGAGGAAGTTATGAAGCTTATTAGATGTCTAATAAACAAAAACATTCAAAATACATAGATTTTGAAGATGAATCCCGAAATTAAAAATAAAATGAGTTAAAAAGCCACATGAAAAAGCTAACAAAGAAATAAAATTATGTTTTTTAGTCAAAATGAAGTTAATGTTGATGGTTCTATATTTAACTAGGTGCATCCCTGCGAGTTGCACGGGAATAGAATTTTATTGTTAAAATAATAACTTTTACTAAATTATTATTTAATATTTCTACTTTAAAACAAAATGTTAATAGTAAAACAAACATATAGTTAACATATTAGTTTTATTAAACATTATAGTTTAATTTTTAAACCATTGTGATATATACAATTATTTGATAATTTTATAAACCGTTTAAAATTGTGTAAATTATATATCAAATGAATGATAATATAACCGGTAACAAAACGTATGAACAAAAATATGAACTGCAACTATTAGTAAGATAAAAATAGAAAAACATCTATTATAACATTTGTATTAAAAAAGATATATATACAACGAATAATAAAAAAATATGAAAAATAAACACTATAACTTTTAATAACATAAAAATACTAAAACATATATTATAACATTTATATTAACTTTTCATATTTAAATCATAAATCTTTTCAAATACATTAATGTTTTTAATGAGCAAAACTTTACAACCTTATAAAAGAAAGGAAAATAAAAAGTTATTAGTGAATACTAATTAATAATCATAAGTTAAAAACTCTTGAGTTTTAACTAATAAATATACATAAATTAGAAAACTCTTGAGTTGTAGTGTGAGTTTCAAATGAATGCGGTACTTGGAAATGTATATTTATATTTATTATTATTATTATTATTATTATTATTATTATTATTATTATTATTATTATTATTATTATTATTATTATTATATTTTTCTAAATAATTGGTTTTGATGCATCATTTGAATCCATTTAATTATTAAACATAAAGATATTTAATTATAAATTTATAACATACATAGGTGCATATACATGTTAAATAAATTGTATATTATATATATATATATATATATATATATATATATATATATATATATATATATATATTCATAAATGTCATATGTAATTTTTATGGTAGTAATATGGATAAATTACTTTCATATGAAGAACATATCATAATAAGTTTATCATAATTACATATTAAATGTTCAAAATTATGTTATCTTTTAAATATGTTGTGTAGGATAATCCAACAAAAAAAATAAACATAATCAAAATAGAAAAAATACAATCAAATAAATAAGACCAATTGGTGGTTGAATATATAAATAAAGATGTTACATAAACATACATTTAAATCAAAAGAAAAACTGACATTCGTTAACTTTGCTCAAACAAAAAAACCTATATCCATTTTATGAATCTTATTTCTTCATTTAACACTATTCAACCATAGAAACTTGATGACAATTCTTCACTAACCTGCATTCAAAATATTTTTCTTGAAAAAGAAGAATCAGAAAGATATTCCAATAAAAACATTGATCTTTGGAGAGTCACATTCAAGATTGAGTAATACACACAAATCACATATAAGGATTAAATGAGAAACTGAATATAAAGAAAGAATGGAAATGCTTCATTTGTTTTGGTTAAAAGAAAAAATCATAT